ATTTTTCTCTGACCCCATGACAGATTAGCATTTTAGCTTCTTTTAAGAATGCTATCTATTACAGATCCTGAAATTGTGTCTTCATGAGTGGCATAGATGTGTCATCATTTAATCATTGTCTTTCAGTACCATGCGGGATACTATGAAGTATGTCTATGGACACCATGGAATTCGAAAAGGATTATATCGCGGTTTATCTCTCAATTACATTCGCTGCATCCCCTCTCAAGCAGTGGCTTTTACAACATATGAACTTATGAAGCAGTTTTTTCACCTCAACTAAAAAAAATTGTGGTTTATCTTCCTTAATAAACTCTGAGGGAGAGAAATAAAATGTTAATTTAATTATGAGGTGAACATTACTTGAATCGGGATATTTACCCTGTTACAGGAACCACTGGTATTTTAGTACTTGATTTTTTTTTTCTTTTTTACTCACAAATCAAAAGTGCTTACCATACTTTTTGATGCCAAACATTATACCTTAGAACACTGAAAAAATATTCCTAAGCTGATGCTTGCTAAATAATTAGGTTATTTGAAACCGTTTTAAGTTTTATTTGGAAGAAGAACTAACTTCAAAACAGGGTTGAAGAGGTTGCCATTAGCTTTATCATGCTGTTCCAAGTTTTTATTGTAATCATGATTTCTAAAAAACGCTAACATTGTTTATTATTAAAATAAGCAGTCTTGGTTATATTGCAGCAGAATGATAAGAACTGAATGTTTGAGTTCGATAAAACAGCCAGCGTTGAAATATTATTATCTCTCTTATAATTCTGCTTTACACATTAAAGGACACTTTTTTCCTTTATTTTTAAAATAAAATTAATGTCGTATTTAAAAAGTAGCCATGTAGAGACAAAGATAAATGAAGAGGCCTGATGCGATGGCATGATGGCATGTGACTGTAGTTCCAGCTACTCCGGAGGCTGATATGGGAGGATCTCTTGAGCCCAGGATTTTGAGGCCAGCCTGAGCAACATAGTGGGAACTCGTTTCTAAAATAAATGAAGGAAAGATAGAAGGATGGATCAGGTTTTGCTCAAATGTTACCACCAGGTACTATGTGTGATTTCCAAATGTTTTTAAGAGTCAATGTATTTCCCAAAGGCAGTAATAAGAAATACTGAATATCTTTGCTCTCAAAAACAAAATAGCACTATAGATTTGTTTTTGTTAGATGATTTGGTTTATATTAGAAAATTTATTTAAGTGGTCTGTGAAATATCCATTAATGTAGATGTGAATATCAAAGAATGTTTCTAAGGTATTATGTCATGATACATCAGCTAGTTCTTCCATGTAAAATAACTTTAGTGCAATATAAGCAAGTAGCAATGTAAAATATGATTTGACTTGTTATCATTTATATTAAGAAAATGGTGAAATGTAAGAATTCCATTTATTGTGTTTAGAACAATTTTATGTTTTATTATTATAAGCATGATAGACATGGGAGGGGAACAAATTAAAGTTCTGTCTTCAGAAATAGTAATTTGTAGAATTGATGTGATTTTTAGGACTTTAGAAAACTAAGTTGAAAGTGTTATTTTTGCTTCAATTTTTATTTTTTTGCATAAAAGATTTCTTGTCATACCTC